AGCCAGAGTTTCTGCGCGATCCACCAACCACGCTTCGCGCTCGGATGATCTTGGATGCACGTCAGTGACCCTCACCCGAAGGGTCCAAGTACCACTGTTACATTCTAATTAGTAGGCACTTAATAGGTATCAAAAGTGTATGCCATACTATGCTAAACTAGACTATACTAAGCTATACTATGCTATGCTTTTGCTTTTACTTGGACCCTTGGGGTGAGTGTGTCAGAAGTTCGCAGCTCCTGAGAAGGCTGTGACTCGATGCTGATGGCTTGCAGGCCCGGGTGGCACTGGCAGGCCCGCAGAACCGGTTTAGGGTTTAGGGGTTTAGGGCTTAGGGGTTTAGGGGTTTAGGGGTTTAGGGTTTAGGGGTTTAGGGGTTTAGGGGTTTAGGGTTTAGCGGTTTCGGGGTTTAGGGGTTTAGGGGTTTAGGGCTTTGGGGCTTTAGGGTTCAGGGATTAGGGTTTTGGGTTCAGGAAGAAGCAGCACTCTTTTGCTGCAGATGCTTCACTTCATCTGGCCTAGGTTCAGCCTCATGAACTGAGACCAACCGCCAGTTTTGGGAACATCTGATGACTATGTCTATACATATACATATATATATACATATATCTATATTGGCATATGCATATATATATATATACATCTCTCTCTCTCTCTCTCTCTCTCTCTTCAAGTCATGTGTCGTTTGGGATGACTCTGACAGGTTGCATTGGTTCTTCTGGGGTCCATGGCTTCGGATTCCATGCATCCCACGGCACTGAGCCCCTTGGATGCAATTTCAGTCTCGTGGCTGTGTCAGCCATAGAGTGGGGGATGTGAGAGAATTGCTTTGTCAGCGCCAAAACATGCCACAACCACTGCGGTAGCAGTAGCTTTTCACCCTGAGCTTGGGAGGTTGTGACGCAGCGCTTCCTGCGTTTCATGGCGGTGGTGGGACGTCTCACAGCTGAAATTCAAGTTCAGGCGGTGTACTCAGTGGAGTCTCAAGGAGCTGCAAGACAGCCCATGCAGGCCGCAAGAGATGGGTTGCGATAGCTGCATTTGTGGCCTCTTGCCGGTTATGTACATGTGTGCATACATGAAAAGACAGCTCTTGATTACTGTAGGCAGATAAAACCGTGAGATCTGGTAGGCATAGATACTGATGCTGGCGCAGGGATCTACACACGCATAAGTATAAATGCATATGTATATATATATATATATATATATGAATATTATGTATATATATATATATATACATACACGTGCCATGCTATACCCAAATAACTATACACATACCTGTGTACATAAATACAAACATACATACATACGTGCGTACATGCATACATTCGTTCCGACAGCCAGGCAGGCAGACAGGCAGCCAAACAGACGGACAGGCAGGTAAACTGGATGCACAGGCAGCCTGTTACGCACATAGAGACTTTCGGTTTGGCGCAAGACCCAGTGTCAAGAGGCCTTTTGCCAGCCCCAGCCTCGCCGGATGAGAGAACATCCCGCCTCTAATCTCAGGTACATCCCATCGCTGCTTGCGGCGTTGCCAGCCGTTGCTGACAGCCTTCGCAAAAAAGTCGTGCGGCGACAGCATGGTTGGCAGAAATCCCCCCCCCCCCCCACTCCCCCTTTGACCCTAAACCCTAAACTATGGCTCCTGCTCCATGTGAAGGGCACCTCACGCCCCTAGGGACTCCGAAGCAGGCCTTTTCCGACACCTTGAGTTCAGCCATTATGCATCATACCAATGTCGAAGCAGCTCGGTTTGAGGTTAGGGTTTGCAGGGTGTAGCGTTTAGGGTGTAGAGCTCCGACAGCCAATTTAAAAGGAAGAAAGCCAGACTTCGGCACCTGAATTCGTTACCTCCGCGGTCATGCTGCCTGCCAGCGTCCAGACTGCCAGCAGGCCACGGTTCAGGGTTTGCAGTTGCAAAGTGTGCACATTACAATGCGGTTGCTATGTGCAGCTTCATGATCAGAAGGATTTTCTGGAGCTTCTTTTCAGGGATGTTGCGGCATGCCGCAGCCAAGATCATCGACGAAACCTTCGATCCGACAAGACCTCTACCCCTGCCCTGAAAGCCCCGGCACAAGCCTGCAGGGAGGATGCGCTGCGTGGGGCGACTCGCACCATCCGGGGGCTGGCGAGTCCCGCTGCTGGATGATAGGTATTTTGGGTCTTGAGGGGTCAACATCTCGTGATGAAGGAGGCCTGAATCTAAAGGGATCTGATGCTTAAGACTCTGGCTTGATTGCCCTGGTGTGCAGTGGATTTAGTTTATGAGGTGCACACTTCAGGAAGCGGATGTGTGCATAACTTAGCGAATCAGTGTCCGCAGTCAGTAAGTCGTGCTTCATTTCATTGTTGTACCAGATACGATGTCACTGCGTTCATCTTGACAGATCATAGCCATAGCTTTTGTGCTCTTAGTTAGCACGACGGCGAACGTCGCTGCCGCGCTGCTTTTGCTGCTGCTTCTGCTGCTTCTGCTGCTCCCATGACGGCGGCAACGGCCACGATGACGGGGAACCACCTCGACCACGACGACGGCATCCGGTGCACACTAGCCCCACTACTGCTGCTTGACCTGACTTCCCCGCGGCGACGACTACCATCATTACTACAACTGCAAAAACAACCATTACTACCACCACTACCACCACCTCGGCGACGACCGCGACCACCACCAGCACCACCAATGCTAATACTATGACTGCTATGACTCTTGCGACTACTACTGCTACTACTACTGCTACTACTACTACTACCACCACTACTATTCCTGCTGCTGCTGCTACTACTGCTACTACTGCTACTTCGAGGACGACGACGACGATTACTAACACTATTTGTACCACGACGTCTACTGCTGCTGTTGTTGCTACTACTACTGCTGCAGCTGCTGCTACTACTACTACTACCACCACTACTACTACTACTACTACTACTACTACTACTACTACTACTACTACTACTACGACTACGACTACTACTACTACTACTACTACGACTACTACTACTACTACTACTACTACTACTACTACTACTACTACTACTACTACTACTACTACTACTACTACTACTACTACTACTACGACTACTAACTATAATATAATAATAATACTAACCGTAATACTAACAGAAATAGTGGTATCAACGGTCATGATGGCAGTCACATTATCAACAGCAGCGTTGATGAAGACAATCTGTGTACTGATACTACTACGACAACCGATCACGACAATCACGACGGCTGCGGCTACGACGGCTACTACGACGACAAATACTGCTGCAACAATCATTTACATCCCGCAGCCAGAGTATACAAGTTACAGACAGAAGGACACTGAGCCTCGACCCTGGCTGGTTTGATTTCACATTGTTGCTTTTAGCAGATGCGGAACGGGACTTTGTAGTTCCACGGCAGCAACCGGGTCGCTTCTATCTCAGGGCAGTCGGCATGGCAGCGGGCGCTGGGCTACCTGCAATCCATGCCAGAACAGCCCCTGGACTCCATTTGTACATGAATTCTCGGATGCCTGGTGTCAGGCTGCGTGACTTGATATTGTTCAAGGGTGATGACGGGAATGCTGCTGGTGATAACGACAGTCATGACGATGTTGATGACGTTGATGATGAACAACATGATGGTTGTGTGGACGAAGAGGATGCTTCTGAGCGTACCATACTAACGACGATGGAGAGGATGTCGAGGCTGGGGCGGAGAATGGCTGATGATGTTGATTATCATGTTGGTGATGATGGTGCTCAGGATAAAAGTTGATGATGAAGATGAAGTTGAGATGCTCGGCTCTGTGTGATGTTGTGTCAAGACTGTCAGATCCTCTCCGCGTAGGAGTGGTAGCCATCCCGGATGAACCCGACACTTTAAATTGCAGATTGTAAGATGCAGCTGACTACCGGAAATCAGGAGCCTGCAACCAAATGTGCGGCTTGGCTGCACTTTCGGCGGTGTTCTTGGCTTTTCCAGGTGAGCGTGGGTATGATGCCTTGCGAATTTCGGACGTGGTAGGTGGCAGCAGTGGTGCAGTATAGTGCTTCTAGTGGGTGGCGGTTTTGCGTAGGAGTCGTAGCCGTAGTAGTACTGTGGTGGTGGTGGTGGTGGTGGTGGTGGTGGTGGTGGTGGTGGTGGTGGTGGTGGTGGTGGTGGTGGTGGTGGTGGTGGTGGTGGTGGTGGTGGTGGTGGGTGGTGGTGGTGGTGGTGGTGGTGGTGGTGGAGGTGGTGGTGGTGGTGGTGGTGGGTGGTGGTGGTGGTGGTGGTGGTGGTGTGGTGGTGGTGGTGGTGGTGGTGGTGGTGGTGGTGGTGGTGGTGGTGGTGGTGGTGGTGGTGGTGGTGGTGGTGGTGGTGGTGGTGGTGGTGGTGGTGGTGGTGGTGGTGGTGGGTGGTGGTGGTGGTGGGGGTGGTGGTGGTGGGGCGGTGGTGGTGGGGGTGGCGGTGGCGGTGGTGGTGGGGGTGGCGGTGGCGGTGGCGGTGGCGGTGGGGGTGGCGGTGGCGGTGGCGGTGGCGGTGGCGGTGGCGGTGGCGGTGGCTGTGGCGGGCGGTCTGGGTCGCGGCCCTTGCCCTCGTCCTGGTCGCAGCAGCTGTCGCCGTCGTCTTGTGCTCTTCGTCGTCCTCGCCTGTTGGTATCGTTTCGGACCATCGCAGTATCTTATCGCATTTACCGCACCGTGCCGCACCGTGCTGTGTCACGCGCATCGTATGGCGCCGCCTCCATCGTTTTACCTTCGCATTGCGAGCCGGGTCGAGATGATTTTGACTTCTTTTGCTTCAACCTGTGGTCATTTCGGCTCAACCATCGCTGGCTTTGCGACTGGAGGGGCATCCACTGCCGGAAACACATCCTGAAGTCGACTCGGCCCACAAGTGGACCTGAGTTGATAGAAAGAAAGCCGCTGCTTGACTGAACCCTAAGCTTGCCTTGCGCATCAATCCTGCCACCCTGAACCCCAAACCCCAAACCGTCCACTGAGGGTCCTCCAAAAGGATGGGCGGCTGTGGCGGCCGCAGTGCGAAGAGCCAGGCCAGCTCAGGGGCACAGGGTACCATGAGGGTGGTTGTCAAAATTATGGTCCCTGTCTGGGTCCCTGTTATTATACGGCACCTATTATTTAGGGTACCCAAAAAGGAACTTTAATTTTGACAACTAACTAATTGCCCATGAAGAGGACATGAAGCTTCAGGCCTAAACTCACCCGTGGCCTAAACCCGATCCTGAAGTAGCAATGGAAGCTGGGCATGTTTTGGAATTCTTTCCCTGCGCGCTGCTGCTGTGGCATCGGAAGACCTGCAACTAATCTGGTCATCGTCCTTAACCTTAAACCCCTGTAAAAAATAGGACATGGAACAGCAAACACGTACAGAATCCAGGTGTAGTCCTGATCTTCATGACGGTTAGCATGGCAATGGTCGCCACCGTGGTGATCTCATGCAAAAGCTGCATATGCAGCACCACATCTGTGAGCGCTACCACTCCACCTTCACCTCGTTTTTCCTCCTTTTCCTCCTCCTGTGCCTCTGTCCCCCTCATCGTTTCCGTTGTCCTCGTTGTGGTTGTTGGTTGTGCATGTTATGCGATTGTTGCATTGCTGGTTCCGTTTAGCTTTTTCGCGGCTGCTTTCCGTTTAGCTTTTTACGGCTTCTGCTGTTGCCACCAAGGCTGCTTGCTAGACTTAGCTGGTCTGAACGATGGCACTGGTTCTTGTTGAGATTCGGATACCCTGCTCGGATCATTAAGTGCCCTGGGCGCAACCCTATGCCCTAAACCCTGAACCCGAAACCCCTAGACTCCTAAACCCTGGACCCTGAACTTGAGAGTGCAGAGTATCATGTCAGGAGTGTTTCAATCCGCTGCAGCTGCACCTTGGCCCTCTCCAGCTCAGCAACGAAGGCCGGAGATGACATGCCCTTATCTATACCCTAAACTCTCCCTAAACCCCATGTAAAACGAATAAACCAAATCCGCAACCCTACACCCTAGGTACAGAACCCTAAAAATGCAACCCTATGAATTGAAACCCCAAACTCTAAACCGAATTCTTATGCCCTATATATATATATATATATATATATATATAAACCTTATGTAAAGAAACTCAAACCCCAAACTCCTAAATCTTGAGCCCTATACCCTAAAGTCGAAACCCTAAGACCTGAATACTGAAGCCCTAAAGTAAAAACCTGAAACCCAAACCCTGAACCTTGAACCCCGGAACCTAAAACTGCGCCTTAAACGTGCGTGGCGTCAAGGCTCAGGCTTTTTGGTACAGCTTCGAGGGCTTTTCTGTTTCGCGGCTTCTGCCCGCACTGTTTAGAGTTTCGGGGTTCTGGGCTAGGGGTTTAGGGCTGCGGGGTTTAGGGCTTCGGGGTAACGCGACCGAGGGCGATGTGCCCAACCTCCGGGCTCCGATCCCCCTAACAAATCAACCGCAGCGGAATATAATATCCAATAGTAAATGGTAGGTCATGTACAACGTATAATACATAATCTTTAATATCATTTGAAGCATATACTATCAAATATACATCTATGTATATAGCATGTGTTGTACATGAACGTCCAGCCCTTGACCTAAATCCAAACTCAGAAAGCCCAGCCCCCACACAGCATGATGACTTGAGGCTTTGAGCTCCAGCCGAAGCTCAACGTGGGCATCAAAGGGACTCTTTTCTGCTTGTTTAGGGCGTATGTTTTAGCTTTGTCCTTGCTACTGTTGGTTTCGGATGGCGTAGTACTTCTAGTACTAAGAAGCCTCCAGATAGTTCTTGGACGCGAAGTCTCAGGAAAGGCCTTACAGCGATGGCGGGTGTGCGTGACATCCGCGACGGCCTGATTTTGGATGGCATGGCGCCTTGGCACAACAAACGACATGGTCCCAACTTCAAACTCTTGTCGCACCAGTATAAGTAGACCTCTCTCATACACCATAGAACCCCGTAGCATGTGCCAAGAAGATAAGGATCCGAAGATTTAGGGGTACCTTATTATTTGGGGGTCCCTATAATAAGGATCCTGCTACTCAGGGGTACCTTCTTATTTGGGGATCCCGGTTTTCTCTGCTCAGCTGCAAGGCCGCTTACGAATGAAAGCAGGTTACTGTTGAGCTCTATAGGGGCTTAAATTAGGGTTTAGGGTTTAGGGTTTAGGGTTGGGTCCTTTAAAGTATGTAAGGGTTACCATACGGGATATATCTAGCATGTTCGCAGATGCTGTCCGCAGGTATGTTGACGGTCCGCTCCGTGTGCTTGCACCAGTTGTAGCTAATAGAATATAGTGCAGTACAAGCCCTTAGCAGTATGTTTTAACACAAGATTCCCGCAGCTCTCAGAAGAGAATGGCAGAGGCAATGGTCACCAAGCACTACATGGGACAGGGGCGCACCATCGCTGAAGTGTTGCGAAATGTCAAAGCACAGAACCCGCTGCCCGTCATCGACGATGCTTGGACTGCACATGAATACTTTGCGAAGTTTGTATGATGTAATTTGTGCACGTGTGAAGTAGCATGTTGTGTGTACGGCATTGTGGCACAAGTGCTCTTACAGGAAAAGTGCGTAGTTGCCTAATGGTATTGCGCTGCTTGTAAACACTTGGACGGGTATATACAACAGTGCGTGTGTGCAGTGGCTTACAACAACTATAGGTTATCAGCCGTATAGCCTACGGCCTGGTCACAACTGGTTGGTTACAATACAATCAATCAGCGCATGAGCGAACCGGAACTTATTCCTGCAAGTATGGATACAGTTACAAGCACCGTGAACCCTTTACAGCCCCCGGTCACGGGTGGCCATACAGGGAGCGGCGCCCCCGGCTTAGTTTTCCCGGCACCAGCCTCAGTCCAACAATTCAACGTCTTCGCACCACAGTATAGTGTTGAAGTACACGTTAACCAGATCAGACTGGAAGTCGGAGAACTAGAGGCTCAGGCAGAAGCAAGACACAGGCAACACATGCTGACCTATCAAGAAGCATCCGCAATTCACACAGCCGACTTGGAGCACAGAGCAGAACGAAACCACCTTGAAGTGGTAGCAGAACTGCAAGCAGCCTTGGCACAAAGCGAGTTCAAGGCGGCAAATCGTGAAAGGCTCCTGTTGTCGGAAATGACTTTGAGTCAAGCGCATTCCTATGATGAAGATCAAAGGTTGCGTCAAGAGTTAGCGGAACTTCAAAACAGCCGAATCACAGACGCATTGGATCAACATTTGGCGGAATCACGCTTTGCACAGAACCTCGAAGAACAGGCGAGACGGCACATCGAGAATTCCCAGGAAGTCATGGTTGAACAGTTCCAAGCACACTTTGAGTTGTTTAGGAACAGGCAGAAAGAAGAGTATGAGGCGTCCCTTGCTGTATGTAGGGAACAGAATGAAGAGCTTCAGGACAAGTTGGATTCTGCGGAAACTGCACTAGAGAAGGTCTTGGATCAGTACAATCCAGCTACTCCAAAGAGTCAGCCAGTGCCTGCTCCAAGCACCCCTGCAGGTCCTTCTGTCGTCCCCAAAGCTCCTCAAGCGCCCATGTTCTCAATGCCGAACGTTATCCCCCAAGGCGCCAGATGTCTGTTCGAGTCAATGAATCCAGGAGGTTTGAATGCTCAGTCCATTCCGTCTGCAACAGCATCTTCAATCCCCAAGGCAGGACCTTCCCAGGCAGCGCCAGGAACAGCGGCCCCTCCAGCGGCCGATTCCGGCACGCCAGGGACGGATGCTTTCAACACAGGTCTCCTAGAGACCCAAATGGCAATTCTTCAAAGCCTAAGAAACATAAGGGGTGAGAGCAAAACCGATGCTGACAAACCCAAAGTGAAAGAAGCAGAGTCTATCAGCCTTCCGGAGTTTCCAAGTCCAGAGTCGTATCGTTCGTGGAAAACGGCAGCTAGGGAAGCGGTCAGGGCAGCATCAGATTCACCTGATGAGGCGTTTAAATGGGTGATGAAGGCCTACGACAAAGACGCATCGCAGGAATCCCTTCGAGACCCCGAGAAATTCCTCACCCTTGACACGAAACTTCTTGCTGCACTCACCAAAGTCGCTAGGGGAGAACTCTCCCGAGAAATCCTCATTTTTAAGGAGACAGAAGCGGCGAAATTCAGGGCGGTACGAGGACGACAGGTGCTCTACCTCTTCGATCAGTACTTCAAGACGAACGAGGAGGTTGGATCACTGTACTCCGTGGAGGACCTGCTGAAAGTAAGGTTAATCAATGACGACCTTTCAGTGTTCATTAGCAACTGGGAATCTGTCATGTCTGGGCTCAGCCACACACCGGACGAAACGACCCTAAGAGACATTTTCCTTCGTGAACTCAGGCAGTCCAAGAGACTAAAGTACGATCTTGAGATTTACGACAGGGCAGCAGAGGGCACGGATCAGCACACGTACAAGTTTCTTGTGAAGTCACTTAAGGATCTTTTGACCCGAGAGCGCAAACGCAAGAACCGTGACCGCAAGATCTCACGGAGATAAGTACGGTGCCCCTGCCTCAAAGTCTCCTGGCCGAACTTCCAGCCCCTCTTCAAGAGGAGGCCGTGGCAGATCGCAGAGCCCAAGGCCAAGATCACCCAGTAAAGGCAGATCACAGTCTCCCAGCAAGCCTAGGACACCTAGCCCAAAGGGAGTATGCTACGATTTCCTCAAAGGAACTTGCAAGCGAGGCAATAACTGCCCTTTCCTTCACAAGAAGAGATCATTGTCCCCCAAAGGCGACAAGCCGAAGAAGAAAATCAACGTGACATGCAAGTTCTGGAAAGAAGGCAACTGCAACAAGGGTGATAAATGTCGGTTCCAGCATAAGGACATAGAGAAGCCCTCAGCTCCAGCACCTAAGTCCGAAGCAGCCCCGGCAGCTCCAAAGCCAGGGTCACCCAGGGCCAACTCTCCTGCTCCGCGCAGAGGGAGAAGTCCCCGGGCCAAGTCAAGTGACAAGGCCCCAAAGACGGCCGCATGCGCCATCGCGTTCGAAAATACAGCGGATCTTGAGATCTCGCCAAAGCTCGCTATGGCAGCGTCACACGACGAGGACTACTGGGAGGTAGACTTCACCGGCAACAAAATCATCCGTCATCACAAGAAGTACCGAACAGATTGGTATGTTCCTGACAATTCATGTCCTGTGAACCCCAAGAAGCTTAGGAGCCAAGCTAAGCTCGAGCAGGTTTTGCCGGTCTCCCCTTTTGTTGGAAACAAGATCTACAACTGGAGGAAGACCCCAACCAAAGGACCCGGCAGCACATGGGTAGGTAAGACGATCTTCTACATGCAAGAACTCCCTAAGGTGAGTTTCGACAGCACCGTAGAAATGATTGCCATCGAACCGGAAGGAAAGCAGAGAAAGCATGCCTACCTTCCCAGGGTTTATGATGAAGTCTATCCCACTGTCGAGGCATGTCCACGCTCGAATCCTAAGGATCTGAAAAGGGCTCTTGTGTGGGCAAAGCAGTTTGCCACCATGATCGAATGCATGACTCACGACACGCCTGCGGGATGCGGGTATGAATGCATGGAGGAAGGCTTCCTCTGCGAGGAGTGCGAGCGACTTGCACGTCCGTCATGTGCAGGTCTGGTCCCCGGCTTAGAATTCCTAGCGGATACCGGAAGTGAAGAGGACCTCATCAGCAAGTCGGACTGCAGAACTCACTTCCCCGACGTACCCATTGAACCTGCCTCACGTCCTGTTTCTTTGATCACCGCCAACGGGCCGGTAAAAGGTAATGAAGCCGTTAAGCTAGAGGTCCCTGAAATCAACAAAATCCTCGAATGCTACGTGCTAGATTCAACACCGCCGGTGTGCTCTGTTGGTAGGAGATGCATGGATGAGGGTTTCGATTTCCATTGGTACGCAGGGAAGATGCCTTACTTCGTGACACCCGAAGGCCGGAAACTTTACTGCAAGCTGCGCGGGCGAGTCCCGGTAATTGGGGATGGTACAATCGCCGTTCCCGCCAAGGATGAGAAAGCGGCTCATTCGCCAGTCATCCAGGCAACATCGGGTTTTCCCCGTTCAGCGGCCTAATAAGGCACGCCAATGCAGCAGAATCCGAGCCGGAAGGCGAATCCTCGGGCAGTGGCCTCGACCCCAGGATCGAAAAAGCACTGAAAGAGGCTGCTCCGTTAGGCATAAAGGCGGAGTACTTGAACAAACCAGGTTGGGTTTCGCATCCTTCCTTTCCACAGATGATCGTGGGGCACCTTCCCAAAACCTTTAGAACGCCTGCTACAAGGTTTCCAAAGCACGTCATCCGGAGTACTTGGACTTATGTCAAGAAATGGCAGGAGATCGAAAAAGACGTGGATGTAAGGACGTTGGACAATCGGGTAGCCAAGCTCCCCTCTGATGCCTGCATTCTCAGTATAACGATCTTTAAAAGACCTGTTGATGACCCCGAGCCGGAGCCTGACAGCGAAAGAGAAGCTGAAGCTGACCCAAAGGACGAAAAACGTTCAGCCCAGCTCAAGCTGCAGGCCAATAGCCCGGAGCACAAATTCACCCACCGTCCTAAGAACCCTTTCTGCAAGGTATGCCAAAAGGCCAAAATGCTAGCGCCACATGCCAGAAAGCGAGGGGGGAGCTCCACTATCTTTTCGAAGAAGTTCGGAGACCACGTGACGATTGATCACATTGTGACCAAGGACTTGCGTGATTTTGGGATCGAAGGTGAGAAAGTTGCTCTTGTGGTTAAGGACGTGTTCACTAACTTTCGTTATGTGTACCCTGCAGGTACGAAGGAGTCGGAAGAGGTTTATGATTGCCTGTTGCACTACTTCGCTGTAGATGATGAACCAGGTATCATTTACTCTGACAACGCCCCCGAACTCAAGAATGCTACTGGAAAATACAAAGTTCGTCACAACACCTCACGACCTTACGTCGATGAAAGCAAGTCTGTTGTTGAGAGAGAGATTCGAACTGTGCTCGAGGGCACACGGGCGAACTTGCTGCAGGCAGGACTTCCAACGAAGCTCTGGCCCTTAGCTGCTCAACATCACACTATGGCTCTAAACTTGTCCAAAAGGATGGACACCGCGAAGATCCCATGGGACGAAAGGTTCGGTGAAGGGTTTAGCGGTAAGCTCATTCCTTTTGGTGCCAAGGTTCTCTATTGGAACAATCCCAAAGAGAACATAACAAATGCATCTAAGTTCGACCCAAAGGCCGAAGACGGTATCTTCTTAGGATACCACATTCAACCTGGCTTCATTTGGAGACAGGAATACCTCGTAGCTCCCTTAAAGGGTAGCCAAGATGCAATTGACAATGACGACCTGAGAATCATTCGGGTCAAGCGCATGGAACTTCCGATAGGGGATATGGTTTTTCCTCTCGCGGCTTCCGAGGATCAGGGGGGTGATCCACCCAAGCTTCAGGACCAAGACTGTGTTTTCCCAGCTAAGGAGACGACACTGCCTCCTTCAGGTGGTATCGATGACATCTT